GCGGGGCGCTGCCGGCGGGGCCCTGCAGCCTCCCCCTCTCCCCGCAGAGCACAAGCTGCTGAGCGCCGGCCCCACGGAGCCCTGGTCCATCCGCGAGAAGCTCTGTCTGGCCTCGTCCGTCATGCGGAGCGGGGACCAGAACTGGTAAGGGAGCGGGGCAGCAGCTGCGCGCGAGCGCTTGTGCGGCCTGTGGTCTGCTCGCACCGGAGGTGGGGCTGTTCGAGCGGCAGCTTGGGCTCTTTGCTTCCTTCCTAACTGTGGTGTAAAAACAGGAGCGTGTTCAGCAGTGACGTGTTCGTAGATCGGGAGAGGTGGGTTGTGCTCAGGAAGGGTGTTTGGTGACAGAGTCCTGTGCACTTCCTCTGAACTCATAGCTCAGTTCTGCTGCCTTGTTCCCCTCGCCAAACTGAGGTTTTTGTGGTAGTGTAAGGGTGCCGTCAGAAGCTAGAAACTTGCTTTTCCAGGCAGGGGAGGGAAGCTGTTGTTTATTTAGGAGCAGGCAAGTATCTTTCAGTCCAAGGGCTATACATGAATAATTCCCAAACATAACAATTCTGTCTCGTCAAGTGCCATGTCTTGGGGGGGGATGTTCAGGGATGAATGTCAAGGCAGGTCAGTGTCTTTTCTCTGCACGTTGGCGGGGAAGGAAAGAAAGTTGAGGGTGACTCGCCGTTTCTCTCCTGTAGGGTCTCTGTCAGCAGAGCTATCAAACCTTTTGCAGAGCCAGGACGCCCACCGGACTGGTTTTCCCAAAAGGTAAGATACTGACATTTGAATCTTGGAAAAAGTCAGTTCTGCATGGGATATGTAAGACAGGGAATGTATTTCTCGTTTCTAAAGAAGATAGCAAAATTATTTTTTTTTTTAAATCAATTTTATTTTTACTTAAATGAGGTGAGATACTTTTTCTTGTTCCTGAAATCAAATTTGAGCCTACAGTACAGTTGGATAAAGTTAAGGAACAGACAGGATTATAATCAAAGACATGGAACAGCTTCCTTGTAAGGCATGGCTAAGTAAGGTGGAACCCTTAACGTGAAAAAGAGGTGAGTATCGGGACTGTGAGAGATGTCTGCACAATCAGAAGTGGCATGTTGGGGATGAATAAGGATTAACTGTTCAGTCCTTTGTCCAGGACAAGATTTAGAGGCTAATAAGTAAGAGCAACAGGAGGTGGGTTCAAAGCAAACCAAAGGAGATTGTTCTTCACCAGGCATGTAATTAAGTTGTGGAATTCCTTACCCCAGGAACTCATGGATGCCCATGTATTTTGGTGTGTCCTGCTGTTTGGGCAAGCACTTGGGACTTTTGTTGCATAAGGGACAGAGAGCAATTAAGAGAATCAAGGGAGGAGAAGTTGGGGTTTTATGTTGCTTACTGTTTCTGTTAAGGTACGAAACTGGCCTTGAAGTGATGTTATTTTGTCTTCTCCATTGAAATAGTTTGGGTTCACATTCACAGATGGACACGTTACAGCTGCAGTTTTCCTAAGCGTGCGTGCTTGCTTTGGTTTCTCAATTGCTAGTTGGGAGCATCTGTTCTTCAGTTTTGTTTTGGAGATCAGCCTGAGCAGTGCTACAGTGAAAGGGTGAATACTTCCTCACTGTGGGCTACACTAAATTATATCCATGGGGGGAGCTCTGGGGAAGATATGTTTATAAAGTGTTAGACCTCTGAGGTAGGAATAATTGCCCTGTAGGCTTTGTTGATAGGCCTTTGCTGATGCTGACACTGCAGCATCCTCTGACTTTTTCTTTCTTTCTTCTTAGCACTGTGCATCTCAGTATTCAGAGCTCTTGGAGACTACGGAGACCCCTAAGTGAGTATAAACCTGAAGCCAGATGCAGTCTGCAGCAGTTTTGGGTGGACTTGACAGTTCTTACAGCAAAGGATATAGAATCACAGAATCACAGGATGGTTTGGGTTGGAAGGGACCTTAAAGATCATCCAGTTCCAACCCCCTGCCATGGGCAGGGACACCTTCCACTAGACCAGGTTGCTCCAAGCCTCATCCAGCCTGGCCTTGGACACTTCCAGGGATGGGGCATCCACAGCTTCCCTGGGCAACCTGTCCCAGTGCCTCCCCACCCTCTCTGGGAAGAACTTCTTCCTGATATCTAATCTAAACCTCCCCGCTTCCAATTTAAACCCATTACCCCTTGTCCTGTCACTACAGGCCCTTGTAAAAAGTCTCCCCCAGCTTCCTTGTAGCCCCCTTCGGGTACTGGAAGGTGCTATAAGGTCTCCCCGGAGCCTTCTCTTCTCCAGGCTGAACAAGCCCACATGATAGTGCTCCTCCCAAAAGGAGCATACGGGAATGAGGAAATTCAGTTGTGGTAGCTGGCATGAGTGGACAGTGGGATCAGGGTGTGGGAGATTGGCACGGTCAAGGTATTTCTTAGAACATGCTTCCATTATCTCCTTACCTCATCTCTTTTCTTCATAAGACCTAAGTATTTCAGTATTACACGGCTCTAAAACTGGTCGCGGTGTACTTGGTAGTGTCCTCCGTGTGCCCTTGCTGTCATTAAAAACATGGGAGGGTAACTGGGGCCTCTGTACCACAGCTCCATCCGTAAGAGTGTGTATTTGGGGCCTTAGTGCAGCAAGAAGAAACGTACATTTGGTTGGAATAAAACACTACATATTAGTCTTATTGACCAGAAGCTTTACAAATAAAATTAGCTTTCAGAATAAGGGTGGAAAAGAGAGCAAGAGAGAGGAGGGGCAGTGTTGTGTGTTTGTCTTTTTTGCAGTGGTTCCTTATCAGTGCTGTCACTGCAGCTTTGTGGTCTCAGATATTTCACACTTCTAACTGTTGGAACATTGTGCTGTCCAGTGTTGTTTAAGGAGGTTGAACTGGGGTTGTTGTGGGCATGGTTTGTGTCAGGAATGACAGGCAGCAGCCATTTATTAAAGGAGAACTGGCATTTTCTGTGTTTCGTGTCCAAACTGTCTTGTGTTTTCTCTTATTCTGTAGAAGAAAACGTGGTGAGAAGGGAGAGGTGGTGGAAACTGTGGAGGATGTTATTGTGCGGAAACTGACTGCGGAACGAGTTGAGGAGTTGAAAAAAATGATTAAGGAAACACAGGAGAAATACAGGTAAGCGGCAGAGGCGCTGGGCTGTGGTGCCCCGGAGAGCCCTGTTCTGAAAAGGTGGTCAAAGTGGGATGGATGGTGCTTGTGAAAATGCTCCTTAGGGCTTATTATTCAGTGATGAGTAAGTAAGATTTTCTGATTACAGGCAACTCAAGAAGGATGCAGAGCTGATCCAGGCTGGACACATGGATAACAGACTGGAGGAGCTGTGCAATGAGATTATGATGTGGGTTATTACGTTATTTCCGTGTTAGACGTTCTGATGAGATTGAGGTTGCCGGACGCTGTGTGTTTGAGGCACCTTTTGTGCATTGGGTTAAGAGACACAGGGCAGCTAGGCAGATGCTTTGGCCTCTGGAGGTGGACTTAGTTTAGACTGGGAGACACCAGCTTGTGGGGAGCATCTTTTAGACTTTCTCAGTGAAGAGCTCGGTGATGGCTTGCAACATCGTGCTTGCCTCCTCTGTTTTGATAAACGTCTGGAAGTGAAATTTCCTGCAGTGTGTCATTCTCTGACTGGCCTCTGACTCTGCTTCCCTCCTAAGAGGATCTGAGCCTGAGTCTGCAGAGGCAGGTCGTTGTCTGCAGGTAGGGGGGTGGGGGTCAGTAAGCTGCAGGAGGAGCTAAGGGGGAGTGGGACACTCTGACAGTAGGTTTTGGTTCTCTATACAGAAAGAAAAAAATGGAGGAAGAAGAGGCAGAAGTCAAGAGGAAGGCTACAGATGCTGCTTATCAGGGTAAGCTGGAAATGAGCTTCCTTAGTCCTCAGAGATGTGTATGTTCTTACGAACATTTGGGAAACATTTTAAGTCTTGTTGAGACCTGTTCAGGAGGATTTTCTTGACCCTAGGAGTTGTAAAGAAAGATTACATTCATTTTCCAGCACTGTCTTTGTAGCAGGGCAAAATGCAAACTTCTAAGAAGGGAACAAATTCCCTAGAAAAGGTATAAGAGGAAGCAGGATTAGCAGGGAGCACTCTGTTAGAATATCAGGCTTTTCACCCCTTCAGTTATCCCTGTAGTTTTACAGTTGTCTGAAGATAAAAGGAACAGAGACTTGTTCTCAGTGTTTAATCCACTCAAAATTCTTCGGGCAGTTCAGTGAACTAGCCTGCCAGTGGTGGGAGGTGCTGAATACCCAGCTGCTACAGAAATCTGAAATTGAAGTGCATTACCCAATGCCAGTATTGTATTATCATAGAATCACAGGATGGTTTGGGTTGGAAGGGACCTTAAAGACCATCCAGTTCCAACCCCCCTGCCATGGGCAGGGACACCTTCCACTAGACCAGGTTGCTCCAAGCCTCATCCAGCCTGGCCTTGGACACTTCCAGGGATGGGGCATCCCCAGCTTCTCTGGGCAACCTGTCCCAGTGCTTCCGTACCCTCTTTGGGAAGAATTATTTGTGAACTGAGCTAGTGGGGTGCAAGAAATTCTTACAGTTTAAGTTGTTTTCTTAGGGTTCTTTATCCTCAAGTCAGAAGTAACTCTCAGGGTTAGAGATGTCTGTCCAAGCTGGAGTCATGGAATCTCACTTTGTTTTCTCTTCTCTTCCAGCTCGTCAGGCCATTAAGAATCCACCGCGACGACTAACGGGTGTGATGGTTCGCTCCCCTGCAGGCTCAACCTCCCCAGGGGGAGACTATGCCCTGGGAGATATGTCTCAGCCCGCCATGGACGAGGCCAGTCCAGGGGTAAGGATGTTTCCCATGGTAAGAGGGAAAGACCGGGTTGGAACATGGGGCTCTGCGTCCGTCACGGATCAGGAGCCTGGGGAGAAGCCTGTGCTGTTTTGCAGACTTTTTGCTGTGGTGGTGCTGTAGTGTGGTTGATGTGCAGTGCTGCTCGAGATACGTGTCCTCTTCCCTGTCTGTGATGGTCAGGTGTCCGGATCAAAGCCTGTGTAGGGGCATCTTGGGGTTGGCCAGGCAGTCTTGTGTGTGTCCTGGGAAGCGGCACTGCAGAGCAGGGAAGGGGGAAAGCATATGCCTGGAGTAGGTGTCTGTGGTGTGCTGGATCAGTGCTCTTGGGGGAAGGAGCAAGTGGGGCTAGTCCGTGTGGTGGAGTGTGGCTTTGAACAGTGTGGTTTTTCTCTTTCTCAGGTCACTCCAGGGACATTGCCCAGCACCCCAGTTGCCTCCTTCATTGGAATCCCTGACACCCCTCCAGGCTCTGCTCCCCTGGATGCCCCCATGACCCCAGTCACTGATGATTCACCCCAGAAAAAGATGCTAGGACAAAAAGCAACTCCGCCTCCTTCCCCTCTGCTCTCAGAGCTGCTGAAGAAGGGCAGTCTCCTGCCCACAAGCCCCAGGCTGGTATGGAGCTCTCTGCTCATATATGCAAGCACACAAACAATTTGCTCCAGACTCTCCTACTGAAAAAGGGGGAGCTGCAAAGGCTTTTAAAAACATACAGTTTTTGTGAGAGTCCCAACAGAAGTGATATCTGAGAGATGTAATTAACCCGGTGAGCCACAGAGCTGGAACCCTTTCCCGGCAGTACTGTGGGTACAGGACTGCAGGAATCACTCAGCACATAGGACTGGCTATCTCCCTTCAGTCGTAAGGAGTTGCAGGTTTTGCTGGAGGAAATTGTTCTCCCCAGGGGAGGGGGCGTGTTAGTCGGCATCATCCTGATCAGTCTCCATGGAGGTGTTCTTGGTGGTATCTGCTTGGTGCTCACAATTCTTCTTTATGTTCCGGTGGGAAGTTGAGTTTCAGTATTTCTGAAGGGTCTTAAGGAGTAGAGAGCCCTTTAGTGGGGTTTATGGCCAGTATTGGTAGTTGCAGGCAATTACTAAAATCACTGGGATGACAGGCCACTTTGACCCTTGTGGTGGTGGTGACTATGGAAGTCTGAGGGCGACCGTTGCTGACCCTTTGCAGAGCCCAGGCTGAAAATAGCAGCTGTCAGCCTGCCCGTGGCACCAATACCCTGTGGTAGTGCTTGTGTGATGGAGTAGGCGTGTTGCTGTTGTCTTGCTTTCTTTAACAGTCAGGTATGGGGTCTCTTCCATTTCTTATCTTGGGTAAGAGTTCCACGGGTTCTGTGTTTGCAGGGTGCAATGTAACGTAGGGTGGAGCAAGGAAGGAGAATGGCTGTGGAAGGCTGGGGTGTTTTTGTATCGACAGGACTGTTTTATCTGCTTCAAGGTCTGTCATAGGTTTACTGTGTGACCTTGATAGAGTTACTTCCCGTCTTGGTGCTTCAGTTTCCCTCAGTTCAAAATAAGAGATAATTCCGTGCCATCTCAGGGGGCAGGGAGAGTGGTGTCTGTAAAAGATTGTGAGGTCCTTGAACAGAGGAACTGAGGTAGAGCAAATTACGTATTTGACCTGACTTCAAAGGAAAGTGGTACCGCAGCTGTATTGTAGCTGAAGAACGACGACTGGTTCCAGACTGTGTTGTGCACTTGCATAAGGGGCCTCGGGGCAGGGACTAGGTTGGACAAAACGCGCAGAAGAAACGCTGAGACAGCAAACCATGGCCATATTCATGGAGGTGCATATCTGGCAGAGAATCACTGATGTGATGGTTTCTCCAGGAACTTCAGTTGTCTCCTCCTTTGGCAGGTTGGTGAAAATGAAATGGCAGTGGCTTCTGGTCACATGAACAGCTCAGGAGTCCTGCTGGAGGTAGGAAGCGTCCTTCCAGTGCTGCACAGTGGGGAAATGCAGTCGGCACCTGGTGCTGTCCCTGCATCTCCTGCTGCTTCAGGTAACTCGGGATTCCCTGTACAGTTCTCCCTCCAGATGTACCTTCAGACTATGAATTCTCTTTAAGGAGAGATGAAGGACATCTAGCCTGGCTGGTTTTGGGGCTTCTTTGGGAGTTGTATTCTTGTTTCTGTACCCCTGTCCCTCTCACCCCTACTTTTTTTTTAAGAAGACACTAATCCTTGCAGAAAAAAGAATGCCTGGATCTAAAATGACTGAAACAATTAGACTTGATTTGATCCTGGTCCTTGCAGTCTAGTTTTCTGGGTTTGTCACTGGCTAATACCAAGCATTACAGTATAGAAAAAAAGGGTTAGTTGACAGGGACTTGGGGAAAAATGGGTCTGGTATCTGATTCCCGCTGTGTCAAACTGCAGCTCTCTGTGAATCTGGAGAACTTGCGTGTCTCACCTCTGCGTTTGCCTGGAGGTCTGTGGGGATCAGACCACAGTGGACGCTGAGCGGCAGAGTAAGTTCTGCAGAGCAGGGGGTGAGGGGGACAGGGCAAGTCTTTGTGGTGGGCCTTGCCAGAACAGCTCTGCCTAGGGTGAAGTTTCTTCTCAGCTCATGCCAACCACTGGTTTTGTCATATTGTCTGCAACTGAGGATTTGTGCCGTTCATTTATAGACAGATGAATAATCTCAATTTCCTTATCCATGTCTGTTCTTTAAGACCTGTTAATTTGGTCGAGACAGTTCCGAAAATGCAGTTGGAAGTTACAACTGAGTGGCAACCTTTGATATAAGAGGAATTCTCCAGGAAAGACCCTGCAAAGAGATCCCCTCTGCTCCCTTCTAGCTCCTGTCATGACTCCTTGTCTTGGCTTACCTCGTGTGGCTCTCTCAGTACTGTTTTTTCAGATTTCCCGTCACTGTATTGGGATGAGCCTCCGGAAGGGCATCTCTCTGCATGTGTGGCTTAGCCTGCCTGGCCTTTACACTGAATGCAGTGTCCCAAATCTGCATGAGTCTGTCTCAGACTCCACACACAAAGGAGTCGTGCATTTTTGGTGCAGGTTCTCTGTGTAGCTTTTGGGATGGTTTATAGGTACCTCTCAGTGTCTTTTTCCCAGAAGAAGCCACCAGGCAGTGAAGAGCCCCGTGGTGGCTTCGTGGACTTCAGTGGTGGCTGCTTCTTGCTCATGTGCTTTTCCCTTCTACTCTCTGTTAGGTGCTCCTACGCTTTCCCGGCTTTTAGAAGCTGGTCCTGCACAGTTCACCTCACCTCTTGCTTCCTTCTCCGCTGTTGCCAGCGAACCTCCAGCTAAGCTCCTGCCACCCCCCGTAGAGCCTGTGCCCCAGGCAACCATTGTCATGATGCCCGCGTTGTCAGCACCATCCGTTGTGCCGCCAGCTGCCGCTCCAGAAAGCGTAGCCACAGGTGCGTCCCTGAACTACGCACTCGTAGGTCGTGCACTGCTGGAAAGCAGAGCTTCCCTTGGAATCAGCACCCAGCGAGCTCTGAGCTGGCCTTTTGTCGCCTCGGGCTTGCCGTCCTTGCTGGAAGGATGGTTACGGCTGGGTGCTGGAGTAAACAGATGGTTTTAAAGAGGATTTCCCGGGTGGGGGCGGGGGTGCTGAGGGTATGGTGCTGGATTGTGGTTCAAGGGCTGGAATCCCACTTTTTCTCTCCTGTGTGAAAGCAAACCCCTATTTGTTCTTTATTTTCCTAAGCTGTGCTGTTGTGGGTGGACCTGGGATACTTGTGGTTGGTGCTTGTTCTTATCCACTGCCATATTTGTTCATATGGGCTTGACTTCTCCAGATGGGTCTCTGATTGTCACTGTCATCCTTGTGCAGTGAGCCAGCCAGAAGCCTGCGTTTCCATGGAGGCAGTGTCTGATTCCCATACTGTGACAGTGTCCATGGACAGCAGTGAAATATCCATGATCATTGATTCCATCAAGAAAGAGTGCCTGGGTTCTGGGGCTGGCAGCGCTGCAGGGTCTTCCAAAGATCACTGCATGGATGGGAAAGAAGACCTGGATTTGGCTGAGAAAATGGATATTGCAGTGTCCTATACGGGGGAAGAGCTGGACTTCGATACTGTTGGAAACATTATAGCCATCATTGAGGACAAGGTAAAGGGGCAAAGCAGAGTGCCAGTGCCTTTGGGTTAGGTTAATCGGAAGTGATTAGTGCTCACCAGTTTAGTCAGTGTAAACAAGCAAGGAGTAACCATTCCAAAATGCATGTTCTCACCATCGTTGTCCGGATCAGTAGAACACCACTGCTCTGATCTGCCACATGTAGCCTGGTGCTCCTCCTCACAGTGAAGAAAGGAGTCTCTTCCCGGTGTTGGGTGGGGTTTGGGTCTCCTCTCTGGCAGGCAGATGACCGCTGCTTGCGGCGTACTTTGCAGGAGTGCCGTGTTTCTGAAACTGAAGCTCCACGGGAGACTCCGCAGATGGAGTCTGGCTGTGGAAGGCACCTTTGCAAACCAGTACCCCCGGTTGGCCACAACTGTCTCATTACCAAATAACATGAACTCTTCTTTAATCCCTCTTTCTGACCTCGGCCTGCACTGCTGTGTGTTTTTTTGGCAATAAAGGTGGACGACCACCCCGAAGTCCTGGATGCAGCAGTTGTGGAAGCTGCTCTGTCTTCTTTCTGTGAAGATACCGATGATCCTCAGACTCTGCCTGGCCCCTGGGAACACTCAATTCGTCAGGAGCACGAGAAGCAGGCCCAGATACCCCAAGTGTCTGTGACTGTGAAGCAGGAGAGACTGGAGTGTGAGGAGCCAGAGGCAAAGGGAATTCGAGACCTAATGGGCATTGGAGAGCTGGGATCAGAAATAAAGACAGAACCTGCAGAGCAGGAGCTGAATCAGCTGGGCCCTGAGGAAACCATACCAGCAAGTGCAAGAGTGACAGAAACACCAGAGCTTAGAAGTCAGGAGATAGAAGAGGATCAAAGAGCAGCGGTAGCAGCAGGAGAGACTTCTGAAATCGAGATAGAATCAACCAAGGGAGAAGATGCAGTGCACAATACAGTCAAGACAGAGGTATGTGAGCTGAGAGGCTGTCTGGAACCGGTGTGGGGAAAGCAAGGAGCAGTTGTGGCAGGTAGAAGTGTAGAGGAAGGATGACTGCTGGATTGAAGGTGACCCTTCAATGAATGTGACTGTTTTGGTGGTAGTCATGCTGCTGATCAGTTCGATCTGCAGAGAAGCTCTGCTTTAGGCAGTACCTTTGTGTATCTCCCCCCGCCCATGTGCAGAATTGCTGTTGGGAAGGTGCTCAGTGAACTTCATTGCCTTGAGTTAGGTTAGGGTGAGTGAGATGTGCCCACACCTTCACTGAAGTAAGCTGACACAAACATCTAGATTTGTGCATTTCTCTTCCCTCCAGACCCCACCTGATGATGATTCATCCCCTCCACAAGTCCCAAATGTGAGTGAAGACTCCTCACAGGCTGATGTTCAGCACAAATTTGAGCTGTCAGGTAACTTAATTCAGCTAGGAAATCTTTTACATGCAACATTATTAGCTGGATAGTTGTCAGTGATCTGGTTCAGGTTTTTTGGGGAGGAGGGAGAAGAGGTATGTGTAGGAACAGTGGTAATTACTGCAGGACAGTAGGCTTTGGTGCAGGAACTTTTATAGGAAGACTGCTTTGGAGGATCAACCTTTCTGCTTTTCTTTCTTTCACAGAGTCAATGAAGGAGGAGGCCCAAGCCCTGTTTAGGAGTCAGATGAAGGTAATTCTGGGTTGGTTGTAGTCATCTTGGGTTTATGGGTAACATCTCACTGCTGCTGCTTCCTGACTCCCATCTGCTGCAAAGCAAAGCTGGCTCTCTGATTTCTGCACTCAGAAGTGGGCAGTCTGCAGCTGGAGCTAAAGGGGAGATTTGATTCGGGTGCTGCCAAGCTGTGTGTGTTTCTGTGTTTGCGGGGTGAGGCAGGGCAGGATAGAGGGACTAGGATTTTGTGAAAGTGCCTGTACAGTTGTCAGCAGCTGTAGCAAAAATAAGGCTCTGGGTTGCTGCTGTAAGTGGCCGTGCAGACTCATGAACTCTGTGTTTCAGGATGGGCAGGGTGAAGAGGATGATGAGGATGGTGCCAGCGAGGCTGCCAGTTTGGAAGAAGCCAAAGAAGAAGATCAGGGTGAGGGATACCTGTCAGAGATGGATAACGAACCCCCTGTGAGTGAGAGCGACGATGGCTTCAGTGTCCATAATGCACCTTTACAGTCGCACACGCTAGCTGACTCCATCCCCAGCAGCCCAGCCTCCTCGCAGTTGTGAGTATCAGCGAAGCGCTCGGGCACACAGGTACACATCCCGGCCTGTTTCGTGGAGGGAGCATAGCATTCTCACTCCTGTTTTGCTGACTGGCTGGGTCCGAAGGGGGAATGTGTTGATGATTTGTCTGGATCTCCTGGCTTACAAGTGCAAGTGTGTGGACAGCGCCAGAGTACCAGGTCCCTTTCTTTCCTTCCTCTCTCGGTGTGGATTAGCGTGGGCATGTCAAAGGCAAAAGAAAACATAAGGTTCCTGCTCCAAGGCAGTATGCAGCCTCCTGAAGGAAGTCTTATTCTCTTCCCAGCTCAGTGTGCAGTGAGGACCAGGAAGCGATACAGGCTCAGAAGATCTGGAAGAAAGCCATCATGCTAGTTTGGAGAGCAGCAGCTAATCACAGGTGAGTTTGATGCCTTCAGAACTGGCAGGAAGAAGCGACTAATCCCAGACAAGTCTCTCCTCTCCCATCTCGGAGGCTGATCTGCCTTGGAACCAGGAGGTGATGAGTCGTATTGTTACTGGTAGCAGACAAATAAACATGAGAGCACAAAACAAATCCTCGCCAGCAAGGATGGGGCACTAAGCGGACTCCTTCTCCCTGCAGGTACGCCAATGTCTTCCTACAGCCTGTGACTGACGATATAGCACCAGGCTACCACAGTATTGTGCAGAGGTGAGTCTTAGCAGCGTTTGGTCATTAGAACTCTCTATATTTGCATATTTGTGTAGGGATTTCTGGCAGGAGCAATGTAGTTTTTGGCTGCTGTGCAGACTGCAAGACTTGGAAAATTACATTTTTCCAATGTGATTCAGTCGGAAACAGGTTTTGCCAAGAAAAGGGTCATCTTCAGCAACAGATACATGTCTTTACATAGTCCTGTCTTTGAATGAAGTGCACTGACTTAGAACATTTTTGATCAGTAAGGTAGTATGTGACTGATTTGCTTCTCCCAGTTGCTGTAGGGTTTAGTCTTGCAAATTCCAAAGACCTGTTTTCTTTAATCAGCATTTTTTCCTGTCCCAGCAAGTGGACTCTTCCAGAAGAATTACCAGAGTCCCTTGCTAGCCCCTAAAACCTCTCCTAAACAGTTCAGTAGCTGCAGCTCCTTAGTGTTTCCTTCAGTGACGCCTGGAGAAGGCAAATGCCTTTCCCGAGGCATCTGTTGTGCCGTTGTTACGGCGTCTTATGACCCGAGGCCTTGATAGTCAGGAACACCGCGGTGTGGGGGAGAGCCTGTTTGGCTCAGTCCAATAGGTGGCCTAACTGGGCATGTTCCAAACACGGGGCTGTTCAAGAAAGAGCGGGGAAAGGGTTAAATTTCTGTTGCTATTTTGGCTGCATTTCTTTCACAGGCCAATGGATTTATCTACCATCAAGAAGAACATTGAGAATGGGCTGATACGAACTACAGCTGAGTTCCAGCGAGATATTATGCTGATGTTTCAAAATGCAGTTATGTACAACAGCTCTGACCACGACGTGTACCACATGGCTGTGGAGATGCAGCGAGATGTCCTGGAGCAGATCCAGGTAAAGTACTGAGCTGAGGCCAGCGCAGGACAGAGCATCTACCTCGGTCCATGGGGAAGACTTCTGGATGTAAGACCACAGTTATGCTCCCAGTGTCTTGGAATGAAGCAGTCCCATCATTCCCTGCATCTCTCTTGAACTAGCACAAGTGTTTGTGATGAACTGGATTGCGGATAAGTTAAAACTAATGCAGCAAAACGATTTTTAGGTCCAGCCCAGACCAATTTCAAATCTCGCTTCCTTCAGGGAAATGCTTAGGCCAGCAAGAACCAGGGTGTGGTTCAGGAACAGAAACAAGCAACAAGAACGGTGAATGACAGGGGACGCGACTGCTTCTTAGGGTGGCTGTGGTGGTATAAACTGTACATGAAACTGCCCTCTGAATACATGCCATTTACGCTTTCTGGTGAAGAAGGATGTCCTGGCTGGCAGGGCTAACAGAGCTGGAGCTGGGGTTTTATAGTTCCTCAGGACTTGTGGCTTCTGAGGTAAATGGGGGAACTTATTCTGAGCAGCAGAGAAGGAACTGAAAGTGCCTCTGACCCAATCATTCCCAGCCTGTGGTTTGTGATAGTTAACTGGCATCTACTCACTGAGCTTGTTTTGCCTGATAATCTGAAGAGTGTGGTTTCCTTGCAGCAATTTCTGGCCACACAGCTGATCATGCAGACATCGGAGTCGGGGATCAGTGCAAAGAGCCTGCGTGGGCGAGACTCCACTCGCAAGCAGGATGCTTCGGAGAAGGTGAGTGCGCTGCACCTTGTGGAAGAGCAGTTGGTGTCTTTTGAAGACTCCCAAGATAATTGCATGAAGTTCCCATCCCAAACACAGGCAGAATGGGTTTTTTTAATTGCAGTGGCTCCAGCATCTTCATGCGAACAAATTTTTCTTTGAATGTGTCTGTTGATGAGATTTTGGCTCTGGAGCTGTACATCATCCCAGAGGGAGGTCTTATCTGTAATTCCAATGGTTCTGTTACCTGTTTTTAAAAAGAGGTGATGAAGACTGTAGGGAAATGAGCGGAGTATTGGAAGAGGTGTGATGTGGCAGGAAGGTGAAGGCGTAGAGAATTGGATGGCTAGCCTCTGCTGTGTTCTTTGCTTCTTAGTCAGATGTTTAGAACCAGGATCCCAGTCTGGTTTGCTGTGTAAAACGCACCAGAGAACTTTTGACTTCCACACTGATCTGAACTAAGAGCAATGTAGGTTTGTTTGGGTTTATTTTCTTCTGTAAAGACATACCCAAACTCGATTAAGGGATCTCAAGTGCTCTCATCTGGCGCACATGACATTGTGACAGCACGGGCTGCCTGCTTCGTTCTAGCGGCAGCTGCACAGTGCAGAAGTTGCTTGATAGTCCAGGCCTTGCCATGGCTGAGGAGGAAATACCCTTTTCCTAGCATTCTGACTCTCGCAGTATCCCTCTTTTGTCCGTTTTTATGTTCTGCTGCATAAGACTGATGCCGTGCGGGAAGGGGAGCGGGGCACGTGTTTCTCTACGCTCACATGTGGGCTCAGTGCTTCTGTGTGGTGTGTGTGTTTCCGTATCTGATAAGTCCTTCTGTTTGGCCTTTTAACAGGACAGTGTCCCAATGGGCTCTCCTGCCTTCCTTCTCTCTCTCTTTGTAAGTATTGAAAGGCTCCGGCGGGTACTGCAGTACTGCTGGCAGCGTGCTCTGCTCCTTGTCTGGGTGATCACTGCACTGTCACAGCATCCCTCGCGCTGCAGCGGGCCGCGTTTGCCTTGGGGGCTGTACAACCGGGGTCCTTAGAGAAGAAACAGCTCAGTCCCTTATTCTGAGCGTGGGTGAGTGGGAGGGGCTTCAGTCTTTTTTTTCTGGTTCCAAGTGTTCTCGTTTTGTCATCTGCCTTTGCTTTTTCCCACGACTTCTTTCCTGCTCTCTTGCCGTGTAAGTGGGAAGACAGACCAAGCGGTGCAGTACTATAGTTCTTCCATCTCTCGTGTTCATACAGTTGCCCCTTCTGCACGTTCGAGTCAGAACAAAGGGTTTGGGGAAAGTGAGGAGTCAGCTGTGTACTCCTTTACCATTCACGGTCCAGAAAGGAAATAAGATGCTCCCCAGAAGTACCTTGCTCTGTGCCTGTGGTGATCTGGAAATGTTTGGAAAAATATTCCCTCCAGGAAACCCCAAGTGTCTGTGAGTTGCGGGGAGGAGAGAGGAGAGGAAGATGGAGAGTTGTTTTTTTCTCTCGCATATATCTAAAGACAGAGGAGTACTCCAGGAGAGTCAGCATGTCAGCCAGAGGGAGAGGGCAGCGGATCAAAGGAAGCTCTCAGCTCGCCTTCTGCTCATGGAAAGGAGCTGTGCGGAGAAACTAGGGAGCTAGTGCCAGGGTCACTCAACTGGAGGAGCACTTCCCGTAGGGATCAGCAGCTGCTAAGGTAGGTTAGTCAGCAGTTTCCTCTTCCCATCTTAAAAGCCAAGCTAGAATCTGCCGCTTAGGAGAAAGCCTGCACTGTGCAGGCTCCAAAAGCGATCTGGGCGAGAACCTTGTTGCCTCTCTCTGCCCTGGCTGCCAGCAGCGCGCAGACACGCTGCAGATCCCAGCGCCTGTGCTGTGTCCAGAGCGGATTGTAGGTAGGTCTGCAGGCAGGCCTCCCCAGGCCTTCTTAGGAGAGCTACCCCTCCTGTTCGGAAGCATGAAAAGTTGTAGGGATGCAGAGCTCCTTCCCTCCGAGCGCTGGAGGAGCGGCGTGGTGTCCGGGGTAGCGTAACTCTCTCCGTTTGCCTTGTCACTAGGACGGTGGCACCAGAGGGCGTCGCTGTGCCATCGAGGCCGACATGAAGATGAAGAAGTGATGCTGCGGGCAGGCAGAAGATGCCAGCGGAGGGCAAGCGAGACGCAGTCAGCAGCTGTCGGGGGAGGAAGAAAAGCTGCAGGTCCATTTCTGGCACCCTTGTCCACCTTCTTCGCTTGCCCCTCTGGAAAGCAGTGTCTCATCGGAATGTGTAACCCAAAGAAACTTCCCTGGAGGGGAAGGCTAGCCCCCCTGCCTGTTTTAGGGCAGTCGTCTTGGGCTTCATCAGTGTTCTGGTGTTAGCTAGCAACTGGTGGCTCGTATGTACTGTAATGTGAAGTGTACAGATTTTTACTAGTGATGTGTAAATGTGTATGTATATTAAAGTCTGGGAACAGATCCAGTGTGCGGTGTGCAGTCACTGAGCATCGCAGCGCTGCGCTGAGGAACCTGGTGCTGCGCAGGGGTGCCTACTGCCCTGAGTACCTGCAGATGTGCTTGTTAACAGGAAGGGAGTTATGACAGAGTGTTGACACTGACGGATTGTCTCTGATCATGGGAGTGTTGCATAGTGCTTGGATGGAGGGGAAGATTCCCTGCTTGTGCAAGAATGTGGCACTGTCGTGATGAAACAGGAGACCTAACCATGAGAAGTTAAATGCTGCAGTCCTGTTGGAGCTTCCCTGAAGCGACCGATGTATTGCAATGTACCTCATGTTCTTTCTCCAAAGATGTGTTAAGGGTCCACTAGCCAGGAGTGGAAATCTGTGATCCCAGCAGCTGTAGGCATGCCAGTACCTGGTTTCTCATCTTGGCTTGTGAACTGTTCTCTCTACTGGAAATTACAGTTCTTTTCCTCAGAACATGGATGCTTAACTGGGGTTTAAGTTTTCTGACAATTTTCAAGTCGCCTTATTTTCTGCTCATGTGACCTGTGAGATGAAACTTGTGTATTTTCTGTCCCCATGACCTTCCAGGTAAACAAACAACATCCGTTTTCTCCTTCCTGATGCTTGCAGCAGCTGGGAGTGGTCTGCGCTTTGTGCAGCATGCACGGGGTGCAGCTTTCTGCCACGCAGGTTGCGAGAAATGGAGTCACTGCCGTTAAGACCAGGGGGATTGTTACTGTACCTAGTGAGAGCCCTTGATTTTCACAGGTTTTGTGTTGGAAGTGAGTTGTGCCTGCTCTGTTGAGTCTCATGGATGGCTGTTTCCACCAGGAGTCACTCTGCTGATGCTAGAGGCGTAGAATTCTTTGGTTTGCTTACTGGTTAATCGCCCTTCACTACTTAAACCGGGAACAAATTTCTGGTTTGAATGTTTACATCCTCAGTTCCCAGAGATTGCAGATTGTTCATTTCATAGCGCAAAAAGTTACCGGCTTCTTTGGTTTTCTGGTATTTTGTGGAGTAATTTCAGCTGGGGACAAACTTTCTAGTAGGGCCTGCAGCGACAGGACAAGGTGTAACGGCTCTAAAGATAGAAGGAAGAAATCGTTTACGCTGGGGGTGGTGAAACTGGAACAGGTTGCCCAGAGGGGCTGTAGATGCCCCATCCCTGGAAACATTCAAGGTCAGGTTGGACGTGGCTCTGAGCACCCTGATCTCATTGAAGGTGTCCCTGCTCGTTGCAGGGGGCTGGACTAGATGGGCTTTAAAGGTGCCTTCCAGCCCAAACCAGGCTGTGATTCGAAGCTGGAAAGGACCTTTGCGTGTTCATCTGGTCCAGCCTGCTCAGAGCAGGGCCAGCTTCCAAGGTAGACGGGGTTGCTTGGAGAAAATTTCCAAGGATGGAGATTCCCTAACACCTCTGGACAATGCATTTCAGTGCTTACCCACCCTTATGGAGTAGATGTTTTCCTTATCTCCAGTCTGAATTTCCTTTGGTGCAGCTTGTCTCCACTGCCACCTTTCACTGTAGGCCACGAGTAAGCGTCTGGCTCCGTCTCCGTAACACCTCTGCCCTGTCTCGGTCCCTGCTGAAGAACTGCAGTTGCAGCACGTGGCAGGACCTTTCTCGTGCCCCCTAGTTAACTTGCTTTCAGCATGGAACGCGTTGCTGTTTGTTCCTATCCTTGGTTTCTTCTCTTAACCAAGTATTTTTCCCTCAAAGAGCCTTTTCTCTCATGACGTTTTAATAGCCTTTGATGAAGTTTAACATCTTTAAAAAAATCTAATACATGATTTTCTGTACAGAGCACCATTGCCTCTTTCCCAATTCATCATCTGCTGCTCCAACTACTAATTCTGTTCTTCCTAATACTTGGTTCTAATCTGTCTAGCCCGGAGCTAAGCCTTGTGCTGCATCTCCCAACATCCACCCGTTTGCAGACAAATAATAAAACGTGCGTCTTTCTATTTTTCTTGTGCTGTGGCTGACTTAAATGGCAGGTTACAGAGCATAGGTTGGGTCACATTATATTTAAGCCTCTTGAGGAGTGAATCCCAATGGGTTCTGAGGTTTTTCCCTCCCTCAAATTGTTCTAAAGCCTCCCCTGTTGACATTTTAATTAGAAACGGGTTTCTCAGACCCATCCCAAGTCTCGTGTGATCTCCCGTGTGGCAACTGCTGATAACGATGATTAATTTGGTTTTTCCAACTGGCCCTATTTTCTGCTGAGATGTTTGGCACTGATCATGCGTCATCCCCACTGATCATCTGGCAGCTCTCTGCTTCTGATGTTCTTGATGAAGTTGGTTGTTGTTATTTGCTTTTATGTCTTTAGCAAATTGTTCTTCAGTTTTTTTCTTCTTTTTTCTTTCTTCCTTACTTTTTTGTGGCTTCTACATTTCATTTACTGGAGTTCAGGCTTTTATCATTTTTCTTGTTTTGACACGTAAGTTCCTTTCAAAAGCCGTCTTTTTCATTTCTAACAGCTTTTTCTCATGGCGGCGAGGGTTGCGCAGCGTCTGATCTCTGCAAAGCGAGCTAAAGCTTTCCAGTTCGATAATCATTCCTTGCTGGTGACTTCTGTGGCCGATGTAATTAAGAACTGTCAGGCAGTTCTTAATTAAAAGTTGAAGCGTGTATCTTTTTGTCCTTTATTTTTTGTATGGGATGGGAGTGGAGCTAAGCAGCCGTTAATTATTTCACTCATCCCTGACCTGCAGTAATGCGGCTGTTCTGCTCCCTGGCATCTGGAGTCTTCCAAGGTTTAGTAAAACTGAACATAAGGCTGAAGATCTTTTTAATTGATGCTTTTGCCCGAGTTCCCTGGGCTTCAAAACGCTTATCCCTCTTGACCGGAGTACAGAAGGGTGATGGCAACTGGTTGGATCACCCTAGGCCCAGGCTTTTCCGTTCTTCAGCCGAGCTGCGGTGGCTGGTTCCGCGCGTGCGGCCGGCGGCGCTGATGGTGCAGGGAGGCGCCCTAGGCACGGGGTTACTCTTCAGGTGAAATCACAGTTTGCCCAACACCTTTCCCTGGAAGCTGAGAGCAGGTGATGTTATCTCTTTCCTCGTCGTGTTTTATCTGCTTCTGCTGAAGTTAACTTTGAAAGAGGTTTCACAAGGCCGGCCTTTTGGATCCTAGCTCTGCTTGTAAGTTCATAAAGTAAGCAAGCAAGTTTTATCCCAAACCCAATGGATTCCTTCTTTCTCCCAGTTACGCGCTGTGAGCTGTATTGGTAGCTCTGCTAGCAGTCCTGAGAAGGCGAAAGGAAGTCAGGGAGAGCTGTGCTCGTTCAGAACTCTAGGGAGAATTGGGTTTTACATAATTAACTGAAAACTCTAAAGACACTGCTAATTAATGCACAGAATTCTCCATAGGTACAGCATCCGGGCAGCTGAGTCAGTGCCAAGATACATATTTTTCTAAGAGCCATTTACTGTTGTTATTGTGACTCTGCAAGCAATTCCCTGGACTTAGGGAGATCGTAGTGGACTCGTGCAGTAGAAGACACTTAGGCATGGACTAATGGACAGAGGTTAAAGGAATGGTGTCTTCCTTCTTGAGAGAATGCTAACTTTTATTTGCTGAAGTTAGTAAAACTGTCCCCTGTCAGTGTGTGACTGATTGTGGTTATATTTCTTCTGGCTCAGATATACCACCATCCAGCTAAATCACGTCTGTCACTTTGCAAACAAAGCGTCTGTAGTGTTTGTAATAAGGTATTTCCAGTGTAAAAAGTTCTTGGGGGACAGCAAAGAGAATTTCAGTGAGCTGTCCTTGGAGTCACCGGTTTTTCATAACTGTCGGTGGCTCAGGAGCCCCGGCCTGACTTGGTCTGAGCTTGCTGCCGGCTGCCTTCAGCACCTTAAGCATCCAGTGTCCGACAAAGCCGCGTGTTCCTAACCAGCTCGGCGTCCCCCAGGCGCGGTGACCCACCGCCCCCCGGGCAGCCCAGCCAAAGCGCCAGAAAAGATGAAATTCAGTTGCTCTGAAATGAGTTTGTGTTGCAGAGCCACGGCCCTGCCACGGGCTGTCAAGCGTGGGCTCAGGCCTAGGCTGCTCGCCTCACGGAGCCCTGCCCGTGCTTTGGCTCTCTGTCAGGAAATGAGTGGGGCTTTGCGGTTCTGGGTCAGGGTACAAAGAAATTGCTGTCTCTCTCTCTCCTGTTTTTTTTGCAGGGGGACCATGCCTGGATGTGGTGGGATACTGAGATGGAGTCTCCCAGCGAGTCCGAGAACAGTGATTTCCAGTCTCTCCTCAGCTGGGATTCAAGCTTGGATGTGGACGTGGGCAGCTGGAGGAATACTGAGGAGGTGGCCATGGGGAAGCTAGAGGAGAGCAGCGGAGAGGCAGACTGCGAGCTGGAGCTCAGTGAGCCCCTCTGGGAGGGCGACAGTGAAGACTCCCAAACAGCAGAGAAGCCCTGTGAAGATGACGGTCTTCTCCAGTTCTTCTCAGAGGTAAGGCTGTTCGGATGACAGGAAAGTGGGCGGCGTAGTTCAGGCCCTCCTGAAACATGAGGGTTTTCAAGGCCTTCACCGTCCCCACACACAGAAACAGTCTGGGGGAGGAGCAGATGCCCCGAATTCACTTGCTCCCCGTTCCAAGCCTATCCCTTCCTCCCATTTAAAAGCTGGCACTGCAACCAGGCAGCTGCTTTGCCAAAACACAGCTCACCCTAAAGCACAGGGGTGTCAGTGAACTGACACTGTAATAATAACACAGGGCTTCATCAGAAGATGTTGCAAGAATTCCTAAAAATGGAAAGGCGTTCGTGAGCGAAAGCAAAAATAGCATCTGTGCCGCTTATTTCTCTTCCTTTTGCCTTCACAATTTGAAGCAATAAATCTCTTTTACAGGTAACCCAGATGATGGAACCTCTTCGCATTAGCAGCACAGAGTCATCGCAGACTCAGTGGGATGATTGTGGCTCTGGGAAAGAGGATAATGGGGAAGATGTGAGGTGCCGGGAAAAGACGGTGGGAATAGCAGTCTCAGGAGC